TGTGTCAACAATTGCTTCTGATAATGTGATACTTTGATAATATATAAAATATAATGACAAGTGAAATAAAAACAGATGAATCTACCGAACTGAGAATGTAGTGGTTGCTTATGGAATGAGATTGTATAGGTTTAGCAAGTGCTTGCCGGTAACGATGTATGTAGTCTTTTTGATTTGTCTTCCTTTTTTTTTAAATAACTCATAAGCTTCAGAAACTATTATGAAAACTATATCTTTTGTACTTGTTAACATTTTCATTTAATTTAATTTTTTGTTGTTAGATTGATTTGCAGTTATGAAAAGGGGGAGGTTCTATGTTGGACATACCAATAAAAAAAATTTAAAAATAAAACAAAATTAGGCAGATCGGACTAACTTACTAAGTGACTTCCGATACTCAATTTTGTGTAATTGTATTATTTAGTATAACCCGCAAACTTTCAAAGCTAGCAAAAACAAAAGTCGTATCTCTTGGCTGCTGCTGTTTAAACTCTGCTTAAGTGAAAACATTATAACACAAAAAATACTCAAACGGCCTAATACATAAAATACTTCTTTTCCAAATCGGCCATAAACAATCACAGGGCAAGTCAGCTGTCGCTGTAGTGCGAGACATTTTGAATCGATCCGCATGAATGGAGTTATTCTAGATTATTTAAATAGCGAATCAGGAGCATGGTTGACATTGATCTCGCGACCGAGCGTCCGTGCGGTCGGTTCAACTATCGATAAAAATAGTGGTTTGCTACCCGAAGTGATAACTGAGATTTACATACATCGATAAAGTAAGTTTGTTAAAATTTCTTAGACGGTTCTATATTCCAAAAAAAATTTTTTTTATATAAATATTTTACATTAACTAAACAACTATATTCAAATACATATTATAAAGAAGGAAGATTTACTTGTTTATTTACTCCTACATCGAATAAGCTCCCAAAGTAATGAAACGATTTCAAATTTTTTTCACCAACGGGAAGCTATATCTTACGCTGGTGATATAGGCCATTAGGCTGTTAAGTCTATAAGCCTGTGATAAATATTAAATCCTATTATCGATAATAAAAAAAACATCTCTACGTGGTCCTGTAATAAACATCTAAACCTTCCTCTTAAATCTTTTATTGAAAATCGCATTAAAATCCGTTGTATATTTTAAAAGATCTCAACGTACAGACAGCAGGAATAGAATATAATGTATAGATAAATAATTAATACAACTTTACCAATATTTCCTTGATATAATTCAGAAATATACTTAAGATTAAATTTTAAAAAGCAATACGTTTATTATTATTGCTTAATATGAATTAAGTTTTGCAAAATTATTTATTTACTACTAAATTAATGTGTCTTCGTGTACAAAAATGTTTAAGGCTACATAAATTATGTCATCTCAGTAATACGGGTTACTCTAACGTAAGAAATGTGTTGATGAAATTTACGTGTATTTTAAAATAAACTATTTTTTGTAATACTTTCTGATACATTCCAACATTTTTCTTCATAAAATCCTCGAATTCGACTACAATAAAGAACTGTATTTATTATTTATAAAATACGAAAAAATCGCTTTTATTGTATCACGTGGTTTTTTTTTCTTGCATTTCTTGTTGCAATGGCAATTTAAATAAATCACCACTAGCGGTGAGAGACAGATCAACAGACATAGCCTGTCTTTACCCTCTGGGTAAGAAACCATAAAGAAGCTGAATAAATACAATTCTCAAGTTTGGGCTTAGCAATACCCTTAGTGATTTATTTACTTTTAATTACGGTGCATTAATCTAACTTAGGTACTTTTTACGATGCATATTAACGGCACTATTTAATAGTAAAAGTCCAACTAACATTGACTTTGTCTCTAATTTAACAATATTGTTCTAATGAAGTGCTTTTATAACTTTGAATAATTTCTAAAATAGTATTCCGTTTGTTTAAGTCAACAATAGGCCTCTTAATTCAATCTACATCTCTAAATGATTATAAATAATTTTCTAAGCATTTCACAGATTTAAGTGGAACGTAGGGACAATGATCTTCAGCTAAACAACTTGTAAAAGGAAAATTGAAAGCTTATAACCTGTTCCAAAAAGGTTTTATTAAATGGGCTATGTATAATAAAAGTTTCTTTTGTAATTTTTATATGAATCTATTTAATGTCTTGGTATCTTATCTGTCCAGGTAAAATATTGAAAGTTATTATTAAATAAAATATTTAGAACAAATCAATGAGATCGACCAGGTAAATCAGTACTGCATATCGTTTAAATGAATGAGATGAAAATGTCTTTATTCAAATAAGCTTGTTTCAATCACTTTTGAATCGCCCAAAAAAATTACAAGAAGAGCAAGCCAAAGAAACTTTTCAGCTCTTTATTATAAGCAATGACATTTACATATGTAAATCATGTCATCATTATAACAATAATAAATAAAATTTTCTTGAATAAATTTTACCACATAAGTGTAAAATATACCAAACCGATTGATTATATAATACATAAATCATATTAAAATCTATTACGATCCAATATAAAAACCTGATTAGATGTAGATACGTGGAATTCAAATAACTAAGTTCATTTAAATAAACAACTTTTTTACATACTTACATGATGTAATTTTTTTTTTCAATAACAGATTATTTAGACGATATTTCTTTGTACGAATACAATTAGAACTCGGTGATTAATGGGTAAGGTGTCACTTTAAGAACTACTTTTTTTCATTGATTTTAAGAAGACTTACCTCTTGCGTTACTATCACGTTTCTACGTACATCTTGTCTTACATAACACTGGCTTTCCCAGTGGTTTCGCCCTCGTGGTCTTGTATTAACATAAAAACCTTCCTTCATCTTGAATCGGTCTGTTTAATGTTGAAAACCGCAAACTGTTTTGTAGTTCTAAAGATCTCAGCGTAGAGACAGTGAGAATCAACTATGTTTTAAACTATGTATGTATAGATATTAATAAGATTGTATAAAATACGTAATTTTTAAGAGCAAATTTATTAAAATTTGCTGTTATCAATTATTTTTATATCGCAAGATGTCACTTTCAATTACTTAAAATATGAAACAAAATAAGTATTTTATTATTAAAATCTAAAAATGTACTATATAATATTGGTTCAATCAAACCTAATGAAATGAATAAGACCTTCTTTGAATTATATACCTTTTTAAACAAAAAGTCTCCAAAATGGGTTTACTATTGGGAAATCTCACTCCTTTTAAGAAGTTTGTTAAAAACTCTTCCGACAGGTTGGATAATCACATTAAGTATAAAGTTTGCACCTGATAAAATACCGTTTGGCGTGTTTACTCTGACAATTTTGCTTTAGCGAGAATACGGCGGAACAATAAACACACTGAAAGCTGGTGGTGCCGCCCAAAGCAGGATATATGGTCATTATAGATCACGCCATAGTGTTGGCATTGTATATGTCAATATAAACAAGAATTCATATCTCTGCATCGGTGTTTATAACAATAACAGTAAAGAAACTAGATATAGGTGCTCTTAAAACTTAGCTGATTACAGCATCACGTGGGAATATAACTTGCAATATCTCAAAGATTTTAATTTAAAAACTTCGTCACATTAAGTCTTCTTATGCTTGGATAAGTTTGTGTTTGATAGCATAGTCATTACAAGTTTTAATCTTGGATACGTACAGCAATTTACTCTATTCTCAATATTTAAGAGAATTATTTATTGCTATTATGGCATAAACTTATAGAAGTAAACATTTTTTTTAAGCTGGTGAATGAGTTGTAGGAGCTTTATGAATATCAAGAAATCAGTTTGTATCCTTAGTACCGTGCTTTTATTTCTTGCTGCCTGCTTAGTAAGGGATTCCGAGTGAACATTGGTTAGGATAGATTTCTTATTTGGTTGATTAGTTTTCATGTATAAGATATACTTATTGAATTTATGAAAATATTTGTCTTAGACTTACGACCTCAGATTTTTAAGTAACGATTAATATCCGTTCTATCATCAATAATAAATTATTTAATAAGAAAATTTATTGCAATTAAATAATTTAATAATCAATAATATTTATAAAAGTACGCCATATAAATTGAATTTCGCCTGTAACTAGGCAGTGGGAGTTAATATAAATGAATGTTAGGAAAAATAAATAATATTTAATAGAAAAGTACTCTATATCTACAATTTACTGAGAATTTAAATTTATCTTTAGTAATATTATAATTAAGAGGAAAGGTTTGATTGTTTATTTGTTTGCGTAGAATTGGCTTTGAAGCTACTGTACCGATTTAAAAATATTTCTCCTATGATCCTATGATGATCTAAGACTTCTAAGACATCGGGAAACTTCTGTCTTATACATAGTATAAGACAAAATCTTTCCGCTGTCTGCAGGCTAAGAATAGCTACATTATACGCGGATGATCTAATTGTAAGACTTCTAAGACATCGGGAAGCTTCTGTCTTATACTTAGTATAAGACAAAGTCTTTCCGATGTCTGTACGCTAAGCTTTTACATCACACAACGAATTATAATATGGTTTTAATTAGCATACAAAGTGATTCAAAAGGAAGGTTTATATGGTGTACCACGCGCGAAGCCGCTGGCGAAAGCCTAGTAAGCTATAGTTTAAGGCTACACTAATAATAATAATAGTAGTTTATTTGCCAGAATATGGTACAAATTATAATAATTAGGTACATTATTTTCACATATTCTTCTGATTACAGTGTGCATATTTTTTACATAATGAAACAAGAAAATTAATTTATTCATCATTAACTTTGTAATATTTATCGTATCAATAATTTATTAACTTTTTTACAAATTATTTTGACAATTTTAAAATAAATCATACCTAAATGTCAAAATGTAATACCATATTTAATTTTTCATAACAATAATTTGATTACTAATTACTACTAATCTTATACAAATTTTAAATAATGAATTCATAATATCCATTTTTCTTTTGTTACAGAAAATCAATCAACAAAATGTCTTCACTGAAATTTATTCTAATCAAATCACTTATTTTTATCTTATTACTACAAGAAAATGAATGTACTGAAAATGGCTACTTGCGTTACGTCAAAGACGGGTGCTTCATTCGAGGTGAAGCATTATCATGCGTTAAATATAAAGCTTTGAAAATAGCAAAGAAAGCGTTATTCGGTGATAACGTTTATAACAATGAAACTATAAGAGCCAATAAGGTGGTAAGCTTCGTACCACTTGACACGGAGACTATTGAAAAACTGAGTGTTAACGAAAAAGTGGAATTAGCGGTCGAGCCTAAGGGATTCCTGTCAGAATGGGCCGAATTGGCCAAGTATTTTATGAGACTCATGAAGGATTTCTTCAAAGTCAAAGGGCTTAGAGTGGACCTTCCTGAGGGAGCGCGCACTATCGAAGAGGAGGATAGCGATGGTAAGATATATATATATATATATATATATATATATATATATATATATTATATATATATATATATATATATATATATTTTAATAATTTACTAACACTGATTATAAGTTTCGGTTAAAAGATTTTTTATATTCTCAAACAAGACATACATATATTGTTATTTGCATTAGAACACAACATCGAGACATTTGTGATCACACTGCAAACAAATTAGGAACTTACTCACGAATTATTTATACTGCTATACTAATGTTAAAAACGAAAGATTTGATTGTATGTTTGTTTGTTTGCATAGTCTCCGAAACTACAAGACATATTTTTAAAAATTCTTTGAACTACCATTTAACTGACCATCTTAGAAGCAAATTAGCAACTTATAGAACTAATAAAGAATAAGCATTTATTCACTTTAAATGGTTTACGAAATAAATCAAGTTTGATATGGACAGCATCAATAAATATAGTTTTTTTTTTTTTTTTATGTAACGGGAAATAATAATTTTTCAAGTATTATTAGAAAATTCTCGCAAATGAAATATGAAATCACTTCCGAAGTTCAATATAATTCTATCATTTGTACTGAACCGTGTAAATATGTTAATTTACTTTGTAGTCAAGAGCAGACAAGAATTTTTTTTTCGTATAACTTTGCGTAATATAATAATTTTCGAATTAATCAAAATAACTTTGGCGCTTCTATTATGCACAATATCTGTATCACAAAGATGTCGTAATGGTAAAATGTAATTGTCCACCAGAGTTATAGGTGCTTTGCACACAATTTATGACATGTAGTATGTCTGATCGAAGTTTTATGAAAGCTTTATATGAATTGTCCGATCATATAGCAGATACTGCTTAGTCCGAAGTCGTGCCAACCATTATGATATATAATTTGTCTGAGAGAAGTTTATGAAAGATATTTATAGATAAACTCGATGACTCAGTGGTAGGCCCATTAGATCTCCAATGTGGAGATAGCAAGGTCCTTTCGTAGGACATGAAGTTGCTTTGGAAATCACATGAAGTTCGTCGTTATTACCGTCCCCACAATAGGGATATTAATGACCTGATGATGATGACGGTGACGATTAATCTAGCCTACCTTATACCATAAAGCGGAAAGTTGTTCCAACGCTTTTACGGGAGATTTTACATTTCAAAGTTGTTAGAGATTATATGGACGTTGTAGCGCCATTGTATTTTATAAATTTCCTCACTGATTGCTAAATATTATGGAGTTCTGTCTACTTTTATCCACACCTAACAGAAGGGTGTAAGAAAACAAAGATTAATTATTCAAAAGAGTGCTTCAGTATAAATATATTTGATTTTCTTGAATAATTATACTTCGGTAAATAACCATTAACCACAAGGGTGGGTAAAATTTATGTCCTACTACTAAGATTTCTAATAACTTTGCCTCAAAGCGCATTGAATTTAATAGCACGAAAAACTGGCACAATCTGAGCCGTCAAGTGAATATATCTGATTCACTATATCGCATTATTAATTCAATAAAGGAAATGGATTTTCCTCTATCGTTTTAGGTCAAGGCAGTCGTATTACTTTCATTGTTATCGATTTTAAAAACTCAAGAAGGTAGGAAGCAAGAAGTAGTTGTTAACATTGGAGTATTACGAGTGATATAGGTTATTACTTTTTCACTTCACTACAATTATGAGATTCATACGAGTATAACTATGAAATATTAAGGTTCACAAAATTTTAAAATTTCTATCACAAACAGAAATGTATTTTCTCACTAGTACCTATTTATTTAAATCTCATATGAATTCAAATCTACGGTCTAGTAAATCAGCTAAATTTTGCCCTATTGTTTGCTTTAATTTTGACATTTTCTCTCCATTGAGTAGTCTCTACCCAAATAATAATTATGCTATGTAGGTTGAAGGCACCAAATTTTGTTTTTCACAAAAGTCCTCTTTGGAACTTTAATGAACCGAAGCTTATAAAAGTTCTGAAAAATAACAATCCTGTTCTGCATATGAAAGATAAGCATTTAAATGTGTCAGCTGTATAGTCTTTACAGAAATGTTGAGAATTATATCAGATTTCGCCTCTGTTAAATTCAGTTCACAGAAATAATATTTCCTATACCGAATACCTTATAGCTATATATAAGTTCCAATTCCCGTCAGCTGAACTAGTTAATAGTATGATGTCTCGCTAGCTGTTTTACCGCGGCTTCGACCTCTTAAATAATAGGTGAAAGAATTTTCACCTATCATTATTTTCGAAGATTATCCCCACCAAACAGACATAAAAATTTAGAAACTTTACCTTTTTATAATATTAGTATGGATTCATTTCGGTAAGTGACGTAATGACTGGATAGTATTTTATAATATAAACGTTAGAATAATAAATTATTCTCAATGAAAAATGCTTAGAAATCCATTTTCTCCCTGGGGGACAAAGTAATCCAGTATAGCATTGTGAATGCAGAATTGATAAAATATAATAATAATAAAATTGTTTTATTTATTCGGGTATTACTTCGTATATGAGGCAAAGACGAAAATTCTTAAAACATTTTTTAACAGAAATGTAATATTTTAATATTAAATTTAATGTTATACATATATTTAATAATATATTTTTTCATATATATTTAATCAGTATACATTTATTGAATTATTGGTACATATATAAAGCTTTACTCCAAATTCAAAATTTATTTATTCAAGTGTACATATAGTATCGTCTTCGGCTCCGTAGGCTCTGAACAAACAGATAAAACACAATACGAAATGGAAGAATGTAGACGTCCCAGAGGATTATAAATCGATCACTTGATATTGTAACCTCAAAATCCATTGCGCATAAGAAGAAGAAACATTTATTGATCTCACAAAGGCACAAATAAGATAGTATATTATTGGGACCATATAAAGCATGATAAAGACACAAAAGAAACAGAAAAAGAAACAATAAGGTACATAATAACATAAAAAAGAAAAAAAAACAACCAGGGCTCTGCGTCAGCTGGTGTTGACGCGACACGGAAAGTGCTACATCAATGCTGATATTCTGGCAGAGCTTATATATGCATATATAAAGAGTAATAAACACTGAAAATAAAAATTTACTCCAGTGGTAATTAATTAACATTAAGAAGGCGAAAGATGTATGTAATGATCATAGGTTGTGGCGATCTATCCTCTATGCCTACCCCGCAAGAGACTTAGAGTGTATAGACAGACTGAAGTTTTTATTCAATCTTAATATGCATATACGCCGCTAAGCCGCCTATAATCGTGCCAGAACACCTCATTATATATGCGGTTACATTTAAAACAATATTATAAAGTTCATAATCTGTCATCGTCTCTGAACACATAAATATTGGTAAACTCGCAAATCAGCTAGATAGCAAGCCGCGTGCATATGCCACGTTTATTTCCACGATTTACTAAACAAAAATGTTAATTAATAATGCGCAATGCAAACTTTAAACAAAATTGAGTCAAATTTTGGGACACAAAGAATCATCATTATTTGATAAATATTTATTATAGTATATTTTTAATTTCTTTTACTGCACATACGCTTAGAACAAACACTTATTAAGATAGAAAAGTTTATTACTTTTTAGATGTGCTTAAAAATGTAGGTAGGCATGTTTAAAAAAGCATACAAAAGTGAAAACACTTTCAAACTTCCATGTACAGTAGAGCGAGACATTCATTAAATTTCAAAGAAAATTATCGATATTGATACAACCATTGACGCTAAAGAAAGTTTAGCCCCTCAATAAACTTAACCGCAAATGTTATATTTTCGTATTAAAAGTACAAGTTTCGATGATAGAAAATTGAACTATAATTTTAAGACCGTGGTAGTGTAGGGCGTAAATGTAAGGCATCGTTAAATGCTAAGGTTCTACAGATTGTGGTAAAGCAAACAGAGCAAAAATACCACAGTCCGCAATATCCGCTTGTGCTTATATTTGTAATACATCGGGGAAATGTGTATATTTTGTTTCGACAATGTGATTCGAATTGATCACTTTCTTTTTCAAAATCTATACCTGAAGAAAAATCCTACTACCATTTCTTAGCGTAATATTTTTCTAATGTTACCGAGCTAATTCATACTATGACATTCTTCAAATAAAATTTGTATCGCTAAATTAATTAATTACGAACATAGCAAAAATAAGTTGTGTAGTTGTTCAGTAACTTTGGAAAATTATTTATTCATTCGCAGGATTAAAACTAGCATGAAGCGAAATTTTCTTAATTTAAATAAAGTTCCCCTTTATTGATGTTTTTCATTATAAGACAATAATGCATTCATATCTTATTTTTCGCATAACATCTTCCTATTTTTATTTAGGTTTATATTTGGCAGAAGTTCAAGTTGATTTATAGCTATCATTAGAATTTCAATGTTCTATAGGGCATTAAAGCCAAATATTAAAGCAGTAGGTATAGACTAAATGTCGCCTCAAAACCTATTTTGACTGGGAATTTAACAGGGAACACAACAGCGGAATCAGTGTTCTGGTAGTCTCATTATGTTAGGTTTTACATTTCATGAAGTCATAATTTATATAAAATATTGTAGTAAAAATAATATTCCTTTGTTCTATATCACTACATCACAATATTATCATATAAACGTAAAAAAAAACTTTTAAACGGCAGACAGGTAAACAATTTTCATTTCAAAAATAACGTTTTTCGCATCGAATACTTACAATTTGCTTAGTTGTCGACTTTATAAAGATAACACAAAAGTCATTCCTAAAGCAATAAGAAGTTTATTTTAATAAAATAAAAAATATATATACATATATAATATGTTACCAAAATTTCTATGAAATAATTAAGTACTTTATATTGAATAACCTTTTCACTTATGTAATTTTGATCATTAAGTTATCAGATCACGTATAGAATTTTTATGCTAAATTCTCCTCTCTCTCTTTATAATGCTGATGAATAATATTTAAACTAAATATTTATACAATAGCG